CCACTGCTCTAGAGGCTGTCCAAGGCCTCTTCTTCCTCCCTCGGAGGGGCTGGTGAGCTTGAAGCGCTGACCGGGCAGTTAGCAAGCAGCCGGGGGCACTTAACCACACAGCACCCCAGGGCTCCATACTCTCCCCTCCAGTTGGGGGTGGGGTGGGAGGGCTGGGGGCTAATGGTTGAGGTGTTGGGTAACAGCAGGACTGGGGGGGACGGTCTTTGTAAACACAGCCTGAACAGGAATGACTCAAGTCAGGGCATCTGGGGATGCCCCCCCCCCCCCAGCCTGGGGTCACTGTGAGTGGCGGGAAGGGGGGAAGGCAGGCTAAGGAGCTGTCACCTGGGGAGTCAGGGAGGGCTTCCCAGAGGAGGGGACGTGTGAACCGAGCCTCAAAGAGGAGCAGAGGCCTGGGGGAGGTGGAGCCGGGCCTGAGGGCCCGACATCCGCTGTCGCCCCAGGGGTCCTGAGAGAAGCCAGATCTGCTTGTGGTGGCTTCTTAGCCGCCAGGGTGCTGCCTGGGTCCTGAAGGCTGAATGGGAGGTCGCAGGGTGGACCGTCACTCCAAGCAGAGGGACCGGCCTCTGCCCAAACCTCGGAAACGCTTGCTCAGTTGCTGCGGGACAGGCCACAGAGACAGACAGACGGCAGCAGGGGGCATTTCCTCACTTCTCACTCATTCTGGGGGCAGACCCAGTGAGGAGGCAGCCCTGGGGCAGTGGGAGGCAGGCCGAGGGCCGGAGGCCTTTCTGTGGGCGGGGAGGTCTCAGGCGCTAAGCCAGGCGAGCAGGCCAAGAGCAGGATGCGTGGGGGGAGGGGGGCCAGGGGGCAGTGGAGGGAGGCAGGGGCCACCCCTCTGAACGCCAGGGGAGGCCATGGGCAGCCACAGAGGGAACGAGGCCTACCTTCTGTCTCGTCAGAACAAATGAGCGGCGCCCTCCTGGTACTTTAAGACGTTTGTGCTCCAGCCCCTGATCCGGGATAAGGTGTAGGTATCTGCTTCTGCAGCCCCTCAGGATCTCGGCAGCCCCCACCCCCAAGGGGGCCGTGCCACTACTTTACAACAGTGGTTCTCCACCTTCCTGATGCTGCGGCCCTTTCATCCAGTTCCTCACGTTCTGGCGACCCCCCCAACCATAAAATTATTTTCATTGCTACTTCCTGTCATTTTGCTACTGTTATCAATTGGGCGACCCCTGTGACAGGGTCATTTGACTCCCAAAGGGGTCACGACCCACAGGTTGAGAACCGCTGCCCGAGCCAGGGAGCTGGTTGTAGGGGCACATGGCTAGTGCCCTGGAGGGGGTGTCAAAGAGGCCTGCCCCCGGTGGGTGTGGTGCGTTTCCAGGGTGGTGGGATTTAGGACAAAAACCAAAAAGCTTGTTTCCGTTCACTTGATTCTGACTCAGATGGTTTCCCCTTCCATCTTTGCGGGCGCAGAAAGCCTCACTTTTCTCTCTCAGAGCGGTTGGTGGGTGTGAACCGCCAACCTTGCAGTCAGCAGCTGAGGCTCAAGCTCGGAGCCCCCAGGGCGCCTCTAAGGTTAGCCTGGGCCAGGCTGCCTCGGGGCATTCGGCAGCATTCCTGCCTCTGCTCCCCCAAACCGGAAGTGGGGGCTCATTGCCAGGGCTCATCTCTCAAAAGGCTGATCACCTATCAGCACTGCTCCCACCCACCCCCACAAGGTGTCCCAGCCCCTGCTCCCACCCCCACCCTTTACCAACCAACCCGTGACAGGCACTTTGTGCTGCCCTTCATGGTCTGGCCTGTGGTTTTTTTTTAAGCTTAAAGATTTTTTTTTCTTTTCCAAGAAAATGCAATGTACAGATTTTCATGTACAGACTTCCCGGCCAGTGTTCACATGTGTATAACCCCCACCCGGCTGATTCCAACACACAGTGATCCTACAGAGAGAGTTTCCGAGGCTGTCCGTGTTCAGGGGAGCAGGCAGCTTCCTCTTTCTTGTCTCGGGGCAACTGGTGGGGTGGAACCACTGACCTCGGGGTTAGCAGCTCTACCTGTAGCCCACTAGGCCACCAGGGCTGCTCCTTGCTGTTCTGAGGACTTCCCCAACCCCTTCCCCAGGGCATCGCCAGAAGGGACCCCCTCACTGGACCATTGTTGTCTCCTGGGGTTGGGGGCCCAGGTCACTGGGATTATACTTCCCGCGCTCCTTGCTCGTCCGCCCCGTTCCCTCAGCAGCGGGTCCCTGGGATTCAGTCCTCTGTGAAGCGTGAGCTGGATCATCCTTGTGGATGGAGAGTTTCCTGGCTTGCAGGGGGATCCGCCCACCTCTTGATAGACACTTGGTTGTTTCCGGTTCTGAACCTCGGTGCCCTTGTCCTGGGCTGGGCGTTGCTCATTTCTCTGGATTAGGTGCTCGGGAGTGGACGGGCTGCGTCGTGGACCGGCAGTTCCGTTGAAGGACGCTGGCTGGCGCCCGGACGCCCTCCCACCTGAGGCAGAAGACCTGGATTGTCGATTAGGGAGGCTTCCTGTCCATCAACCCTCATTATACAATTCCTAGACCTCCTCCCTCCCCCTTTTTTGTTGGGGGGGTTACGTGGCTTCCCCCACTTTAGCTGGTCATCTGGAATGTCAAGCTTGGGCTCAGAGCAAGCTAGTTAGACACCTTCTTTTGTAGGTTTTGGAAGAGGTTTCAGAGGGAGATGAGGGAGGGGGGCTAAGGTCAGAGGCAGGGTCATGATTGAGAGTGGAGGCTGAGTTTGGGGTCAAGGTCAGGTGAAAGGCTTAGGTTGGGATTCAAGGTGAGTAAGGGTATTGAAAGAACCCCAGGGACATAGTGATGAACACAAGGGATGCAGGTCACAAGGTCAGCTGTTCAAAACCACGGGTAAAGATTCACATCAGGAGCGGAAAACGCCCAGCCTGCGGGCTGAGTCAGGCCCACCCGGTCACCCGTGGCAGCTCACATCACGTGTCTCACTGAAGCGCAGCAGTCCCGGCCATCACGTTCAGCTCTCCGCCATCCAGGCAGCCTCAGCTCACGGTCACCCCATGAGTCAGGGTAGAATGTCCCTGCAGGTCTCCAAGATTGTCACTGTTGACGGGAGTAGAAAGCCTCGTCTTTCTCCTGCAGAGCGGCTGATGGTTTTGAACTGCAGGCCTTGTGGTTCACAGCCCCGCATGCTGCCGCTACCCCCCCCCCCAGGTCTCCGAAGGCCGTCCCACGAGGGGTGAATTTATTAAATGTTTGACCAGGATGGCCCACAGGAATGATGTGATACATATCCAAGAGGCCGTTGGCAGAAAAAGGGCTCCCCACTGCCCCCTCCTCCCCAGCCCTGGTTTACAGCCTCAGAAACCCTCTATGTAGAGCAGTGGTTCTCCACCTTCCTAATGCCGTGACCCTTTCAGACAGCTACTCATGTGGTGGTCCCCCCAACCCTAAAATGATTTTCATTTTCACTTCATCACGGTCATGTTGCTACTGTGATGAATCGTCATGTAAAGATCTGATAGGCAGGATGTATTTTCACGGTTCCAAGTTGAACATCACAAAAGCATCGCGATGAATCACGCAAACAATAGGTCATTATCTACTGTGAAATAGTCCTTTCTAATGACAAATCAATGACACTTTGTCTTGAAGCATGGTACAGCATGGGTAACAGTCTTCACACCGGGTACTCACAGGTGGTGCATCTGCCTGTGGGAGGACCCGCCTGGAGACGGATAGAGGAACGGTGTCTCGGTTCCTAAGACCACCAGAAATAGGTGTTTTCTGATGTTCTTAGGCGACCCCTGTGAGAGGGTAGTTTGACCACCAAAGGGGTCATGACATACAGGTCAAGAGCCACTGATGTAGAGGGTGGAGTTATGAGTCAGAGGAGTCCTTGCTGGTACTTGACTGGGAACCAGAAGGTTGGTGGTTCGAAGCACCCGGAGGTGTTTCTGCAGAAAGCCTGAGTGGCCGGGCGCCCTTGACCACCCCCAGGCATGGCGCCCAGTTTGTCTGCAATGTGGGGGTGCTGCGAGCTGGATTAGACTGGATAGCAACTGGTGTTCTCTAAGCAACTTGATCATGGGCTGGGCTGAAGCCTGAACTTCTGTCGAGATGCCGGGCCAGGAGGGGCTGGGCTGGAGCTGGGGTCAAGAGGAGCTGGTTGGGGTGGGGGTGTGGGGGTGAGATGACAGGAGCTGGGGCTCCCGGTGGGCAGCGTGCTGTCTTGCGGGGCTCTTGGGGTCTCAGCTGTCTCTCTCTTTTAAAAGAGGAGGCTGATTCATCCTGTTTCCCACGGAGCGTGGCCCTGGGGAGGGAGGACCGGGGCTTGTTCTTGCTGGTTTGTGTCCCCTTGTCTGTGTCCTGGCTCCAGGAGCCATAGAAGGGGGTGGGCTTTCTAGAAGGAGTGGGATGTTTAGATTGGACTTGGGGCACAGTGAGGCTCAAGGCTGCAGTTTGGGGTGAGGTGTGGGGTTAGGCGAAGGGACAGTATCACAGACAGTGGGTGAGTTTGGGGCTCTCAGGACGTCAGGGTGGGGCTGCCGATTCTAGAAGGAAGGCCGACTGGGTGGGAGCCCCTTGTTCGGGGCATGGCTGGGAGAGAGGTGGGCAGGGGCAGTGGGGTCAGAGGGCGGCTGGGTCTCTTTCACTCAGAGATGTGATAACTGCCTGTGTATTGGGGAGCTGCAGACCTGTCACCCCCAGGCCCCGCCGTGAGTGGAAAACCTGCCTCACCCGAAACCTGGCGGAGGGGGTGGGGGCAGCAGGGCCGGGCTTCAGGCCCTGGAAGAGGGACAAGGTCACACACTCATGACCACCCCTACTCCCCACACCCCCCAGCACATCACCTTTGAGAAGGGTGGCAGAGATGCAGCTCCCTGGCACTGCAGGGTCCCGCTGGGTCCTACTTGACAAGGGGAGACAAGGGTGAGGGCTTGATGCAGGGGAGGGAGGAGCCTTGGGGAAGGTGGAGAGGTTATCTGAGAGACCCCTGGCTTCCCCTCCCTCACCCACCCCCATCCCGCCTCTCCTCTTTCCCTAGAAATAAGGATGTCTAAGCCCCTGGAGGCCGAGAAGCAAGGTGTGGACTCCCCGTCAGAGCACACAGGTCAGCGGGGAGGGGACAGGTGTGGTTGATGGACAGGTGTGTGGTCAAGGGCTCCAGGGGAGGGGGACCCCGGTGCCAACCCTGCCCTCTCCCTCTCGTTCCAGACACCGAAAGAAATGGACCAGACACTAACCACCAGGTTCGGAAGGGGGGTGTGGGCGGGGGCAGGAGAGGGGAGGAGGGGGTCTGGTGGGGGGGCAGTGGGAGGAGCAGGGTGGGTTCAGAGCTGCTTCATCTCACCGTTCCTTTCTCCCCACCCCAACTTTCTCTTCTCAGAACCCCCAGAATAAGACCTCCCTATTCTCTGTGTCCCCGACTGGCCCCAGCACTAAGGTAAGCGTCTCAAAGTGTTGGGGATGGGGGGGGGAGAGGGGGAGTCCTTGCTTGGGGGTGGTCTGAGAGGGTATCCAGTGGGTGGCTGCCCCCCATGAGTGAGGGCCTGAGAGGGCAGGAGGTCTGGCACCTAGGTGGTAAGGTTCCTCCCACCCTCAGGCTCCGGCCCCAGGCTGGTGACTCACAGGGCTCCTTCCCCTTCCCTGAGGGGTGGGGGTGACCAGGGAAATCCCCCCCAGGGCCCCAGGGCGATGAACAACAGGAAGTTGAGGGCCCCACCCCCATCCCGACTTCCCTGACAGGACGGGGGCCTGTACCACCCCCAACACACTCAGAGGTGAGGGAGGGGGAGGAGGGGGCCCCCCTGAGACGCAGTGTGGGGTCTGTAGTGTGGGGGTGCACAAGGAAGAATGGGGCTGGGCCAGACAGTGTGACTAGCAAACCCAGGCCAGGCTGTTGGCCCTCCATGTCCTCCAGGTGCTGGCAGGCCCTGGCTGAGGGGGAGGGGCGGGGAGTGGACCCAGGAGTGTGGGCAGAGAAGGCATGAAAAGGCATGAAGGTCAAAGGCAGCAGAGGGGCAGGCAGGGGTTGGGGCCCGGCCAGGCCCTGCCTCAGACGCCCTCTGGGACTGTGGGCAGCATGTCCCCTCTCAGGGTGCCTCAATTCCTCTTCTTTGACTTGGGGTGCGTGTGGGTGGGGGGTGGCAGGCTGGAGGGCCTCTCAGGCCCATTGCACCAGAGACTTGGACACTGGAAAGTGCTTTGTAAATAGGCTTCCTCCCGTCTGTGGTCTGCGCTGAGCACTGGAGAGGGAGCCCGGGACGAAGGGCTTGGGCTCTGGACCCCGCCATTCCCTGGTTCCAGTCCCGGACCTGGCTCCCTGGAGGAAAATGTCCATTCCTCACCCTGCCCACCCGGCGACAGCGCCCTCCTCACCCGAACCCCATGATCTTTGCCGTCTCCCACCTTCCCCCTGGGAGACCAGAGAATGGGGGCTCCTCCCTCCCTGTCTCAGCTTGGGCCTGGTTCCCAGAGGCCGCCTGAGGCAGAGAAGGGATGGCCCTGATCTCCTGGCCCGAGACCCTCTCTCCATCACTGCCAGTCATGTCCGGTGGGTGTTTCCCGAGTGATAGAGGCTGGCTGCAATTCAGGTGATTTCCCCTTGAGATTTCAGACAGGTGCGCCCCCCCTCCCACCTCGAGCATATAGTCACCCCGCACGCTTTCTGACTGGTCGACTGAAGACAACAGCAGCGCCCCAAAGCCGTTTCGTTTGGAAAATTTGAACCGGACCCCAAAGTCCAGTGCCAGTGTTAAAATGAGCTCCCAGGTCCCCCATCTGTCCACCGCGTGGACAATGATCAGCCTCCCGATGGGCTCTCTTCCTTTCTCTGTAAACGAACGTTGATTGTGAATGAGGTAGGGGTGGGGGTGTTGTCATTTTATATGTAGTCATCATTTTATTTACTGCTATTTTTAAGAATCATCTTATTGGGGGCTCATACAGCTCTTATCACCATCCATCCATCCACCCTTGTGTCAAGCCCATTTGTACCCATGTTGCCCTCATCATCATTTTCAGAACATTTTCTTTCTACTGGAGCCCTTGGTACCGGCTCCTCATTTTGCCCCTCCCTGACGAGCCCTTGATAAGTATTCATCATTTTAAACAACCTGTCAGACCTGTTTCCCTCCTCCTCTTTTGAGCGAGCTCACGTTAAAAAGAAGAGAGATTCCGTTGTGTCCTTGTTGGGTTTGTATGTGTATCGCTCAGTGACGTGCTCAGTGCTCACCTTCTCGGGGTGGCAGCTCCACCCTCCTTCTCTGAGGTCCCCTCCCCGCTCCCATAAGCTCTCAGCACCCCCCTCCAGCCCCCCATGGGCTCTCTCCAGCTGCCGTTGCAGATGTGGACCCCGTAGAGCTGGAGCTCGATGCATGGGCGCATGTTTTTGTTCTCTTTCTTTTTTTCCAACGACGTACATAGTTTCCAGGTGGAAATGTTGTGAATGGAAACCCAGCATCACTACCCTTAGAGTTGACACAGTGGTTACAGCCGCTTACCCCGGGTCGCCTGCCGGCTGAAGGGTGTAGCCTGCAGCCCGGTCATCCTTGGTTAGAAGGGAGGTTAGCTAGTGCCAGAGAGGCATGAAGGACGTGCAGAGCAGGGCCTTTCGTCGGACCCCGCCGCCAGGCGGAAGGAAGGAGTACTGTGGTGTTTGAAGGGTCGTTAAAAAACATTTTAATGAAAATATGACACATGTTAAAACACACATGCTGCTGCCCTCTCCCTCAGCGCGCGCACACACACACACACACACACACACACACACGCAGATCCTCAGTGTACCACGTACACCAGAACACACCCAGCCACCAGAGAGAACTTGACTTAAAGAGGGCATGGCCCTGCCAGGAGGGATGTAGGCTCAGCCCCTGCCAGGAGAGATACAGGCTCAGCTCCTGCCAGGAGGGATACAGGCTCAGCCCCTGCCAGGGGATACAGGCTCAGCTCCTGCCAGGAGGGATACAGGCTCAGCCCCTGCCAGGGGATACAGGCTTAGCTTCTGCTAGGAGAGATACAGGCTCAGCCCCTGCCAGGAGGGATAGAGGCATGGCCCTGCCAGGAGGGATTCAGGCTCAGCCCCTGCCAGGAGGGATAGAGGCTCAGTCTCTGCCAGGAGGGATAGAGGCATGGCCCTGCCAGAAGGGATATAGGCTCAGCCCCTGCCAGGGGATACAGGCTTAGCTTCTGCTAGGAGAGATACAGACTCAGCCCCTGCCAGGAGGGATACAGGCTGAGCCCCTGCCATGCAGGGATGGCCACTGCCCAGCCTTCTTAGGGTTGGGAGTTATTTCACGCTGCACCCCTGTGTCCCTGGAGCGTATGACTCCTGGGGGATGCACCTGTGCTGTTTTCCATCTGCTCTGGGCCTGTCACTCTGCACCCTGTTAGGGAATAGGATTTTTTTTTTTTTTAAACAAACCTGAAAGGGGAGTGCACTTGGCTTGACCCTCTTGGGGTCCTCAATGCAGGGGTGCTGAGTGCTTGACGCCAGAGGCACCCACACCTTCTCCGAGAGACGGAAGGGGCTCAGCCCAGCTCTGGCCTGGAGGCCAAAGGCTGGGGCCACATGCTTGGTTCGTCCTGCCCAGTTTGAAAGGAGGGGTTGCTGGGAGCTGCGTCAGCTTCCTTGTCGACGCCTGGGCCCCCCACCATCCACCCAAGTCACCCGTGTGTGCTCACCCACCTGGGTGGGTTTGCGGCCCCAGTTTGGGGGCAGTCACATCTTCCCATGTCTCATACTCCTGGGCCCTTGGGCTCCGGGGGTGGAGGGGCAGACAAGAGAGGAGGAGTCTGCCTGAAGTGGTTGAGGGGTGAGGGGACCCTGGGCCCCCACCCCTCCTGCGGCACCACTGTTCTGTTACAGAGGAGGAAATTGTCTCCAGGAGGGGAACCATGCTTTCTAAGAGGCTCCTGGAGGCAGCCTGGGTGTGGATGGGGAAACGGAGGCCAGAGGAGGTGGCAGGGCAGGGTCAGAAGCAGCCGCCTAGCCTCTGTGCCCCGACCCTACCCCCAGGCTCCCTTACTCTCTGTCCCCTCTCGTTGGTTCACAGGGGGGCATTGTCTCTGACCTCCAATTAACCCTCTGGGGTCCCGGACCCTGCCTCTCTCCCCACCAGATCAAGGCTGAAGACCCCAGCAGTGACTGCGTCCCAGCAGCCCCTCCGCCCCCCCAGCCGGCTCAACCTCATCTGCCCCAGGCCCAGCTCATGTTGACGGGCAGCCAGCTAGCTGGGGTGAGTACCAGGGGGCCAGGGCACCACCACCTGGCCCTGGCCGCGTCTCCATGCCCTCTGTCTCCTGCTTGCCTTTCCTCCCCTCTGCCCTCCTGTGACCCTGGCCCCCCACTTGCTTGGCTCAGGCACTAACCCTTCTCTGCCTCTCCGGCCCGGTGGCCCACAGCTCACGGCGCTGATGCCGGCACAGCAGCAGCTCCTCCTGCAGCAAGCCCAGGCCCAGCTCCTAGCCGCCGCCGCTGCTGCCGCCGCTGCCTCCTCCTCCACCTCCTCCTCCTCCTCTGCTTCCTCCTCGACCTCGCAGCCCCCAGCCTCCTCCGGGGGTGGCGACCTGCCCCCTCCACAGCCTGCCAGCCAGCCCCCCGGGACCCCTCAGCTCACCCTCTCCCAGCCCATCCAGCTCACAGCACAGGTAAGGGCAGCCACGACCACACGTGCTCTGTCTGTAGGGTGCCCACCAGGCGGGATGCCCGGGCGACCTTGCTGCCCCTTGTACGAGTGGGAGAGTGAGGCTCAGGAGGAATCAGGCCCCGGAAGGGTCACCTCATTTAGTGGGTCTGACCCCACCGGGAGCTCAGTCTCCTTACCATCCCCTCGCAGGCAGGGAGGCCAGGAGTCACGCCAGGGCCAGTGTCCACGGGATGCCAAAGGAAGGCCGAACGTCAGAAGCCATGCCCTCAGCTCCCACGGGGCGAGGCACCCTTTGAGAAAAGGTCTCGTGATCTAAAGGGTTAGGAAATGCCCCGTCTTGGCCACAAAGACTCCCGTCCCAGAAGGCCCTGGTGGCATGGTGGTTACGTGTTGGACTGAGCTCTGCAAGGTGCACAGCTCCGAGGGAGAAGGATGAGGCTTTTTCGATTCCCGTAAAAAGCTGCCGTCTCGGAAACCCTGCAGTTTTACCCTTTCCTATGGGGTCACGGAGAGTTGGCGCTGACTCGATGGCTCTTTTCTGACTTGGCCTCTGGGCTAATGTGCACCTCCTCCTCCCTCTGTAGACCCCACCTCTCAAGGGTCCCGCCTCCAGGAGGTCTTCACGCCCAGTTCTGGGGCTCCCAGGTGCACTGGCCATTCTGGAGAAGCGGCCAGCAGGGCGGTGGGGACGGTCAGTGGAGACAGTAGGTGCTGAGCAGGCTGTGCGGGTCCTTTCAGCCACACCTGCCCACGTCTCCCACTCAGGCCGTCTGCAGGGTCTCCCCAAACCTCGATCGGGTGGCTCATGGCCGGACACAGCGAAGGGCCCCAGAAGTGGTTGAGGCTCACCCTGACCCAAGCTGCCCACCCTCATGTACCTGAAGACACTCCCCGTCTCTAGGCCCCTGCAGGAACAAACAGCGTGCTATTGAGGAGCTCTGATAGGCCTTGTCTCTTGACAGGGGCCTCTGCCCCATAGGCAGGCTGTTCTGTTAGTGACCAGCGCTCCCTGTTTGAGAACCAGTCCTCATGGAGGCTGATCCGTAAGCACTTGGCAACCTTCCTGGTTTCCAGCCCCCTTGCATCGCCCTCCCGCCTCCAGTCCCAATGGCCCCGGGCCTTTAGCTGGGGCTCCGGCTTGACCTGGGCTGTGGTATAGCTCAGTGTCCTCTCTCCTCCCAGGGAGCTTCTCCTCACCCTTTAAGCCCCACTTCCCTTCCTGGGACACCACCTTCCTCTTCTCCCTCCTCTATGGGCTTCATGCCTATGCTCCACCCCACGCCAGGCTGCGTCTGAACATACTCAGGAGAGGTTTGATGAAGAAAAAAAGAAAAAAGAAGGGGATGGGGGTACCTAGTAACCTAGAGGGGACCCAGAAATCCCCTCCCCTTCTGCGAACCCCAGACACCCACCCCCAGGTTCCTACGGGACCCCAGCCGCAGGCTGTCTCCCCTCTACTGCTGCCCGACTCACCAGGATTTTCCAGGCCCCTGGAAGCTTCTCACTGCTTGGCCCTTTCTTCTCCCTCTCTCCATCTTGGCTTCCCCGGCTCTGGGCTCTTTCTGCCCTCAGTGGGACTGAGCATGCCTTCCCGACTCCCGTCTTCCCAGCCTGAGCCCAGGCGGCCATGGGGACCCCCCTCTCCTCCCCGTGCCCGTGGCCCCAGCCTTCCCTGCTCCCGGCGCCTTCCTCGGGGTTGCAGGCTGGTGTCCGGCTGCAAAGCCTTCCAGCCACCGGGGCTCCCACAGGAAGTTGGAGGAGGGGTCTTAGGTGTGGATCAGAACCCTCCCTGCCTCCCCCCCGGGACACAGGAGCGTCCGTGAGCCGATGAGTATAAGAAATCTCCTGGGAAAGCAAGCACACTCAGAGCGCAGGGAAGCCGGTCCGAAGTGTCCATGAGCTCCCTGGACTTCAGAACGCCACGAGCTCAGGGGTCACAGGATGGCAACATGGGGGAACTTCGTCCACATCTTCTAGTGCCCACCTGTCAAAAAGCAGTGTCCAGCTCCGTCCCCAAGACGATGTCACTTAGACAGCTTGGCAGGCTCTTTGCCCCCGTGTCCCAGCCTGTACAACAGGCCCGCCACGCGGCCCTCTTTTATAGTCTGGGGGGACCCAGGGGATAAAGATTTCCCAGGAATCTGACAGGGTGTGTGTGTGTGTGATAGGGCGAGGGGGTGGTTGTCTGAAGGTGGAGGAGAGTGTTCACACGGAGGCAGTATCAGCACCGAGAAGGAGCAAGTGGGCGTCTGCTGGGTGGACAGGTTGGGAAAGGGGGTCCCAGGCAGTGAGAACAAACAAATCCAAAGTCAAACCCCCACCCCCCTGAGTTAATTCTGACTCACAGCGGACCCTGTGGGGCAGCGGTTCTCAACCTGTGGGTCGCGACCCCTTTGGGGGTCGAACGACCCTTTCACAGGGGTCACCCGAGTCATCACAGTAGCAAAATGACAGTGATGAAGTCGCCACGAAAATAATTTTAGGGTTTGGGGGTCACCGCCACAGGAGGCACTGTGTGAAAGGGTCCCTCGGCATGAGGAAGGTGGCGTGTACCCTGCCTCTGTAGCGGACTCTACTCCCGCGGTGTCGTGTGAGCATCACAGAGGGGAGGGTTGGCGGTGCGGAGGGTCCTTGCATCGGGTCCCAGAGAGGGGTGACTGATGGCATACGGAGACTCATTGGCACAGAGGATGTGAATGCGCCTTGAAAACTGGGGGAGAGCCTGGGAGGGTGGGGGGGCCCATTTGACGTGGCCGGAACAGTCGGTGGGGCAGAGGTGAATCGTCAGGGCTTCAGAGAACCTGTGAGACGCTTTTGAATAAGGTTGTGGCAGGACCTGATGGACCCTTGATGAGACGTCCCCCTGGGGAGAGTGGGTGGTACTGGATGAAGGAGGAGGTCCCTGTGGGCGCCCAGGTGGGAGAGGAGAGTGGCCTGGCCCGCTTGGCGATGCTCTTTTGAATGGACTGGACAGCTGCTAGGACTTGGCTTCAGTAGCGGGACGGCGATGAGGTGGGGAAGGTGGGGAGTTCTACAAGACTGGGGTCAGGAAGCAGGGGTTTCACTCGGGATGTGTTATGTCACTGTCAGGGGAAGCCAGCCCCCAACCACTGAAGGGCCAGAAGGCGCAAATGTACGCCGGTGACTTACAGAGATGATAGTGAAATCACAGAGGATAAGAAAGATAAGGAGAGAGAGGACAGCAGAGGAGTCAGACACAGTGTATGGTAGCATGCTCACCTCAGCCCCTCTTGATGGTCCACGTGGAACTGGGAGGAGTGAGAGCCTTCACTGTCTTAGGACATTCACTGGTAGCCTACGTCCTGCATCTTCAGTAGTTAATGCATCACCAGGGGGGTGGTATCCACAGTAAGGTCCTTGAGCTCACAGGTGAGGAAAGGTAACACCTGCCTGGGGGCAACGTGCCAGGGGGTTGAGAAGAGAGAACAGAAGGGTCGTGTCTGCTCCTATAGGGAGATAAATCAACCCTGTGCTCCCTTTAAGGCAGCAGAGCTGTTAGGGAGAGTCTGTGGGAATGCTATTTACAGCAGGGTCGTGGACTTGGACTTTACCTCCAACTTTGATATCAAAGTGGGGGCTTTCCTGCTGTGGAATACCAGCTTTCCAGACTCCCTCTGTCACAAGTTAGGGACTATGGTCCTCACCCCAGTTCCCTCGGTGTTAGTTTCCCATGGGCTTGGGGGGGGTCGTTCTGTTGTGCCCAGGGTGACTAAGCGTCAGCACCCGCGTAAGGGCAGCTGTCACCCTTAAGGAAGACAGAGGAAGAAGAAGAAACGGAGCATCAGCATCGCGGCGGTGCCGGGAAGAAGGCTGAACCAGGACGCGCCCACCGGCCCTGGGAGAAGCGCTCCTTCGCGGCAAGGCTGGCGAGACATCGTCTCCTGTATCTGGACGTGTTGTCAGGAGAGACCCGTCGTCCCTGGAGAAGGACATCACTTGGGCAGCCGGAGAGGAAGGCCCTCCGTGAGATGATCCACGCCGGCGCGGCTGGGCACGGTTGTGAGGATGGCACAGGAGCGGGCAGGCTTGGTTCTGCTTTGCGCCGGGGTGGCTAAGGTGGAACCGACTCGGTGTCCCCTAACGGCAACAGCGGTTCCTCAGCCGAGTGGAGCGGCCCGGAAGGCAGATGGGAATTCGAGGGGGAAGCTCAGCGGAAGGTCTGGAGCTGGGGGTTGTGAATTGTCAGGAAGGGGTTGGTATGGAGAGCCAGACGGGCCCCTGCCCTCCCAGAGCTCACAGCCCCCCGGGGTGACACAAGGGTACCGAATGCCCCTGTTTGAGGAGTACGTCGGGATTTCCCCAAATGCCTCCCGGATACCAGGCCTCAGAACAGCCTAGCCAAGGGCTAACCCACCACCCCCTGCCGCATGGGCTTCCGAGAAGGCTGTGCATCTTCGTGGTAGCCGACTGCCGCCTCTTTCTCCTGGTGGGTGGGAACCGCTGACCTTGCAGTGAGCAGCTTGATGGGGTACTCAGTCCAGACAGAAGCAAGTGGCTTGGAGAAGCCACGGACCTGGGGCGCCACCCAGTGCCGGCAAGTTGGTTCCGACTCACTGTGAGCTCACGAGACGGAGCAGAACTCCGTAGAGTTTCCATGACTACCGACTCATGCTCACAGGAGCACACAGCCTCGTCCTCCTCCCACAGGTGTGAGCAGAAAACCAAACCCGCTGCCCGCCCTCCAGTCGACCCCAGAGGACCGAGGTGTCCCAAGAGATTGTAACTCTTGAGGGGAGCAGACAGCCTCATTGTCCTCCCACGGAGCAGCCGGTGGTGGGTTTGAACCGCCAAGGTTGTGGTTCGAGGCCCAGCGCTTACTCCACAGTGCCACCAGGGTTCCCGTTGACTTTGACTTGGTTGCTCACAACTGGGCCCTCGGCCCACCGGCAGCCGTGTGAGGGCTGCAGGAGAAGGTGGGGGTCCAATGCCCGCTCTTTGCTCAGAGGGTCACACAGACCAGGTTGCCGAGCCATTTTCTGG